ATCTTTTGCAAAAGCTTGTGATTTTTGTGAAAACCGTGAAGCTTTAACTCTCCCAAACTAGATATAAATAATGGTCATTCCCGCAAGCCCACAGACGACAACGATACATTATTTTTAGAGAACTTTTTTTTAAAAAAGGTCAGATGTCTGTCTCTTTGGAAGCTCTGGCAATGGCCGGGATGGACTCCGGCGAGTGGGGCATAGATGTTGAGGAATGGGAAACCCAAGACTTGGACCGCTGCCCTCCCCCGTATCTCCTCGCCGAAGAACGAGATGACGATGAAGCTTCAGAACAACCAAGTCGTTCTGAGCCACCGTCGCAGAGTCGCCGGCGATCATGATGCCAGTTTAACGGTAAGTCATCGCCCAATCTTTTTCTCGTTTTTTTTTCTTCTTTTTGGGCATGATTAGTATATATATATATATATATACACATATTGTATGCGCTGGAGAAGGAAATGGGAAAATAAGCGACGAGCTCCCCATGAAGGAGGTGTACATTTTGAATATGTATATATAAATCAATATTTCTACTTTAATTATTTCTGATCAATTTAATTTTTAGCAATATTTCTCTCTTTAATTCCCTCAAGCCTAAACGGATTCTGAATAATTTAAAGAAACTAATAAAAATAGCTATTTCAAAAAAAAAAAAAAAAAGAAAGAAAGAAAGAAAGAAAGAAAGCGAGTATCTCTTCACAAATTTCTCAAATCGTGTTTGGAATTAAATTTAAGTATTGCTTATGAATACGACGTGAAATTTGAAGATAATTTTGATTTTATATGCCTTGATTTCTTATCCCAAGTTGTTTCTTCACTAAAATTCATCAAAATCCTTTTAGAAAATAACAAATTTACACTATGTTCAAGACACTTGAGTTGGACAATTTTTCCTGCCTATCGATAGAAAAATATTAAGAATATATGATTTGTAGAAATTGATTTATATTATGTGAACTGCAAGGAATTTAAACATAACACTTATCATATCCATCTTACAAATTATAAGCTGAATATTTATTTAAGAGAAAAAAGAAAACAAAACAAAAAAGAAACGGAGAGTTTGCCCAGGAAAGCCAAAGGACGAGATTGGTTCTATTTTTGGAATGCACTTTCGTTTTGTCTGTCCCACATCGGTGAAGCCTCAAAGAAGCAAAGCGCGCACCACTTATAAAATGAAATCAACGGGCATCGTTGAAACATACTTACCTGGACGGGGCCTTTGGGTGATCATGAAGACCCATAGCCTAGGTTGGTGACCTCCATTGCACTTTGGAGGGGTGCCCGCCTAAGGTCTGTTCAATGTGGCAGAGCCTACGTCATAATTTGTGGCAGTGGGGGCCTGCGTTCGCGCGGCCCCTTCCTTAGTTATGGTTTCTAATACTTGTGTCATTGCTTGGGGAGGTGGGAGGCGGTGGAAATGGGGCATTTAGGAAAGGGGTGGAAAGGAGAGATGGCGATGGAGTGCCCAGTTTATGAAGTAATTCAATTGCTTTTAGTGTTGCATGAAAATGTTTCATACCTCGGACCGTCAACTTCACGGAAACCTTGAGGGTTATTTCAAGGGCCAAATTTGACAGTCAACTGGGTATGGGTATCCAAAAGTAGGTTCCCTTTTCATGTAGAAAGTGTCATCATTTGGAACTCGGTTCAAGCATTCGCAAGAATCTAATTGGGTATGTGTTGCATTATTTAGCTTAGCAAATTGCGATATGGCAGTAGATGATCAAGGTGTTCTTACTGTGTTCATTGTGCACGGCTTTGATGTTACATACTACATGTATGTAGAACTCTCTGTTGAAGTCAATTTTCAAGTTTGTACAATCGGTTTACATTTCTTTATGGTGTTTTTGAGCTCAAGCACTCTTAAAACATTTAATAATTGTTGCCTAGAGAACATTAGGAAATGAATAGAAAGGACTAAAATTTATATAATCAGTCCTGTGATTGCTTAGTTTATACCCATTTATTTGGAAATAAATAGTCAAAATCAAATATTTGACCTGGAAACTTGATTCTCTTTCAATTGTAACAGTTTCATTTTTATTTATTTGTTTGTTTAGATTCTTATAACTTATTTTGTATTACTTGACCAACAAAAGAAGAAGAAAAAAAACGAGGCCCTAGAGAATGAGGTATCGATTTTAAATTAAAAATATGGATAACATTTGAGGGCTCTAATTTTGAAATCAATGAAGTGGTTTGACCAAAAGCAATGACCCGATCTTAACTATGATACTCTCGTATCTTCGTATGTTTGTGTAGTCCAATTACATATTTAAAAATATATATAAATCTGAATGAATTTATTATTTATAGAAATAATTAAAATTTCTGCTGAAATGGTTGCTTTGACCAAATATCGTTGGTTCTTCATCAATTATTTCTTGAAAAAATTGTAGAAGGTTTTTAACGAGTCTAATGGTTGTTTTAAATAAAATTTTAAAATATAATGGGTGTGCCTTTTGTCCTATATAACCATTTTGCTTTCTGCCGTCTCCCACTCATCTCCAGAGCGTCAATCCAAATTTCCAGAGCCGGAGAGTAAATTCCATTTCTCATACAATTTTCAGGATTTCAATTTGTTCCTGTTCTTCAGTTGGGTTATTTTGATCCTGTTCTGGTATAATGGCTCAGTGTTTTAGGTATGGATCGATCATGGAGGCATGGTACCGTTCCTGTTTCTCTAGAGTGGGTCTTAGATCCGCCACCACCGATCTCGGAAACGGCACCGTCATGCACTGCTGGATCCCCAAAACCCGCAGAGAAACTAAGCCCAATTTGGTTCTGATCCATGGCATGGGAGCAAATGCAGTGTGGCAGTGGAACAAATTCGTCCGCCCACTCATCGCCCACTTCAATATCTATGTCCCTGACTTGGTCTTCTTTGGGGAATCCTACACCACCCTTTCCGATCGCTCCGAGGCATTTCAGGCTCGGTGTGTTATGGGTGTTTTGGATGCTCATGGAGTACGGACTACAAACGCGGTGGGGATAAGCTATGGTGGGTTTGTGGCTTATAGCATGGCTGCACAGTTCCCTGATAGGATGGAGAAATTGGTGCTCTGTTGTACTGGCGTTTGCTTGGAAGATAAAGATATGGAAGATGGGATGTTCCAGGTGAAGTCCGTCGAGGAGGCAGTGAGCGTCTTGCTTCCTCAAACGCCGGAGAAGTTGAAGGAAATGATCCGTATTGCGTTTTTCAAGCCTATTAGAATTGGACCCTCTTGCTTGGTCAACGACCTTATCGATGTAAGTAATTCATCATTCAGTTTATTTCTTGAGTTTTCTGACAACATTTGCATCTTATGAATGGGTTTCTGCCAAATCCATGTCTTTCTTGGTTTTCTCTTTGTGCCAAGCATGAATCTGAAACAAGTTCAGTTTTCTTTCGAGGATTTTGATAACTATGTTGACTCATCCAAATTGCTTACTTTAAAATGACATTTGGTTGTGCTGTAGGAACTGTGTACCGAGTACCGTGAACAAAAGAAGGAGCTGATCCAAGCATTGCACAAGGAAAGGAAGTTCTCAGATCTTCCCAAGATTACTCAGGTTTGTCTGATTATATATTAGAAGATTTCAGAGTTTGGGTTTGGTTTCAAAATTTTTTCCACTCTTCTGACTGGCTGATTAACAATGGATGCAGCCTACACTGATAATGTGGGGAGAAAAGGACTTGGTATTCCCCATGGAATTGGCACACAGACTCAAAAGGTGAATCTGATGAACTTGTGTTAATTCTTGTTTGGGTTTATCTCTTTATTCTGGTGTGTTTCGAGTTAAGAACTGAAAATTTAGTTGGTTCTTTTGGGTAATCTCTTCAATTTTGCTATTGATTTCTACAGCCACATAGGTGATGGTGCGGAACTAGTGGTGATAAAGAAAGCAGGGCATGCTTTAAATATAGAGAAGCCCAAGGAGATGAACAAGCTTATTCAGTGTTTCCTTGTTGATGCTCACCAATCAAGCCAGGCCAAAATTCACCACCAAAATGACCCCAAATCTGAGTGAAATACTGAAATTTAAAATGGATCTCCCCCGGAGCTTTCAATTTCTCTGCTTCAGTCCCAACTTCATGGTGGCCTTCAGCTGCTGCTGCTGCTGCTTCTACTTTTATGTTATAAAATTAGTGTATATTACCAATTTGTAGTTAATGTAATGAAGTTTTATAATAGTGAAAAGGTGAGGAGCTTTGTGAAGATTCTACTGTATACGAACTGAACTGTTGTTTAGTGTTGCATAAGAGTCGTCCTGCTTCAGTCCATATTGCGTTTTAGGCCTGCTCCGTTCTCTTATTATCCATTGGTTCATTGCACTGGGTTCCCCTCTGCTCTATCAACTGAACTAAGATCGGTGTGTTGTTCACATAAACCACGTTATAACGAAGAACCTTTAAAAAAAAAATGGAATCAAAAGTTGTCAAGTTGATATTATTATAATACAAGAGGGTACGATTGAAAAAATATTATAATCAGCCAGACTTTCAAGTTTCATCACAAACAACGGTCACAGACTGCTTAAAAACTAATAAGAAAGGCAAAGCAGTCCGTCGAGCACCACCACCCCCAAAATTTATATTATTTTTGTTTCAAACTTTGAATATACCTTTCTTTTTCCTTTTATTTAATTTTAAGGTCAACAAATTTGGGAACGGTCGGTCAAGAACTTATTTATCTTCTTATTTTGATCAATTCTTTAGACTATAATGACGCATATATAAAAGTTGTAAAATTATATTTTTGTTTAAACCTAACGATGCTATTTTGTCTTCTTTTCTTGTTCGTCCTGTCTCTCAATTATTGTCCCTAAACTATTATCCACTTTCTACTTTGATCTCTTAATTTAGAATTAATTGGCAGGCCATAGCACTCTGACAACTGACATTATCCAATCTTTAATTTATTTCTTCAGGATTTTTAGTCCAATCTTTTCTTTGATTATTTTTCTAAAATTACTCCTGTTAATACCGCATAGAATCAGGGGCAGAGCAAATGTCGAAAGTTCAAGGAAATGAGTAATAATTAATCCAAGAGCATGTATAAACTAAGCTCTGCAATATGTTCCTCTTCATGACTAATTTGCTTAAGCTAACTAATTAGCATGAAAGTGTTCCTTAATCAATCTATTGAAATTACCGTAGGATGAACCACCGACAGCAGTTGAATGTTCTGCTTTCCTTTTCCACTCTTCAGCATTTTGCCGCAACTCCTTGCCTTTGTCTCCTTCCATAATTTCCTTCAGAATTGCTATAATGTCTGTGCGCTTTACGTCATCGTTCAATTCCATGCCAATGCCCCAATGGACGCAAGCATATCGAGTATTTGGTTGTTGATCTGCAAAGAATGGCCAGCATATCAATGGCACGCCCCCGCATATGCCTTCCAAAGTAGAATTCCAACCACAGTGAGTGAGGAAAGCCCCAACTGATGGGTGTGCAAGAACTTGCTCTTGCGGACACCAACTTGCTAGAAATCCCCTGTTCTTCGTTTCTTCTAAGAAATCTTCAGGTAAAATAGCTGCATCACCCAAGACCATATCAGGCCTCAGTACCCACAAAAATGGCTGCTTACTCTCTGCCAGTCCCCATGCAAATTCTCTTAACTTTTGGTCCGTCACCGTGGTTAAGCAGCCAAAACTTACATACACAACAGATTTGGGGGCCTGTGTATCAAGCCACTCGAGGCATTTTTGGTCTTCCTTCCACACACTCAATCTTAATGGCTTCAAATGGCTTTCAGTTACTTCTCTGCTTAGTAAGGATAAGGGACCAACTGTGTATATTTGGGGAAACTTTGTTGAAATTGCTTCTAACGCATCATGTTCAAGCTCGTCGAATGTGTTGAAGATGATAGCAGAAGAACTCAAGCAGTTTCGGGTTTCCGATCCCATAAAATCAAACATTACGTCATCTATGTTTGTAGTTCTGATGAAACTTGGGAGGTCCCTCAGGCGGATGTTTTTCATTCCCGGGATCCAATTGATGGGTGTGTCAAGTGTACCATCACTCAAGAATGTTTCATCTGGTAAAGAAATGGCAATTTTCTGGGATGAATAAGCTTATACCAGGTTTTACAGATAAGATGATGATTTTCTTTCCAAGTAAAATTCGAACAGTAATATGTCCATGGCTATATTGAAATAAACCGAAACAATTATCATAATCAAATTTTTAACAACTAGTTTATCACCACTCTGTAAAATCATGGGCATCGCAATACATGATAAAAGTGAAGAAGCCTCAGGAAAGTTCGCACCTTTGAACGGCAGAATTCCTCTTTGAATAAGCTCATCAAAATACAGATACCCCATGAAGCCACAAGCAGAAGCAGTCCAAAACTGAACCTCTGGAATCCCCAACTCCGCAGCAGCCTTTATAGCAAAGCTCAAGACCCCATCAGCAATTATACAGCTTACTGAAGGCACCTCCACCGAGGAATTCAGCCCAGCCACCAACTGTTTGAACGGGTTCAAAAAGTTTCTCCTAGTTGAATCACAGAGAGTCGGAACATCTGGGGAGGCTTTGCGTTCGGATGGCGGCAACCCGTCTGGTATGATCCGGAACTGGAAGTCGGACAAGCCCTTCATGACATCAAGTCCCTGGGAGTGCCTTATGTGGTCGTGATAGAACTCGGGGATGACAAAGGTTATGTGGAAACCAGTTGAATGAAGAAGCTTGGCTAATTGCAGAAGAGGCAACGTGTGCCCTTGCTCTGGATATGGGATGCACACTGCATGAGGTTTATCCGCCACTGACTTGCTCATCTCGATCAACGAAGATGAAAAGCTTCAAGACCTCAATTTCGAAGAACTATGTTTTGGGTTATCGTAGTACTAACGAGGATATTCATGGGGAAAAAGTATCAGTGAATAAGACTTATCAGGAATGAACAGTACTTATGCCACGCTAGGCTAATTCTTTGATCGAGTATCAGACAATAATAAGACTTGCTGTTACGCTGGCCGAGGATATTGATGGGAAAAAGTATAGTATTACATCTCGTTTCCAGCACTCTTCCATAAAATACGTAGCTTCATTCTTTGTTGATTTAGTTGAACAGCTTTCCGTTCTTGATTTACCACCGACTCCACCGCCAAACAATCCTCATCCCCAGTCCGCCACCTGAGAAGTGTATGCAAAAGGGTGAATTAGTTGGGCACCTGAGAAGGCTAATAAGTCCAGCTCCTCTTGTATCAACTACCCTTGACCGTCGACCAATGCACAATGTCTAAACAGAGCATATTATGATGCCGATTCTGGTAGTGCATTCAAAATATAAATTTTCTAGAAAGGGAGAAGATTGGAAAAATAAAATTATTAAATCTTGTCATTCAAATATAAATGTACACCTGTACATTGTGGAAATGCCAAAACAATATCAGCAGCAAAAAACTTCATAGGGATGCTCCTTGGTTATTTAATCAATTCAATGTTGTAAACAATTTTCTATCTTGTAGTGGCAACATTTTGTAGTAGAGAGTTTAAGTCCGTCAATCTGCATTTATTGTGCCAAAATCAAAACCAAGAATAATGCCAAGGGATTAAATAAAGAACACAACATAATAGAGAAACTTAATTAGCTTACGTACCTTATGTCACTCAAGTCTGGATAGGTTGCTATCGCTTCTTTAAAATCCTAATTTCAATAAATCAAGATAGTCACCATCAGGGTTATACTTGGCCAAGTTTTCAGATAAGGGAAAACATATTGTTTTCGATCTACCTGTGAGTCTGGAAACATAACACATAAACTTCGGAGCACATTCTTACCTGGTTAGCTGTGGAAGTTGTGTAGGTTACGACACATTGCATTCCAGCCTTTGTTGCAGCCTAAAAATGCAAATAAGGTTTGGAGAAGATTTTGTTAGGCCCCCAATTGTGAATACACATACTCGAGGAAGGGCAATAAAGGGAAATTAGTTAAGGTTGTCTGTGGATATTAGTGGGGCGTGTAGTATGGTAGTTCAGCGTAGGTGTAGACCTGGATACTGCGCGGGAAGGGTTTGTTAACAGCTTCGTATTCGGGTAGGAGATAGAAGACGGGAAGTATTTCGTAACGGGATAGTGTTCTAGGGAGAGATTACCAGCCCTCTCGAATAGGCTGGGTGTTTGGCTATTTTGTAATCGTTTTGCTGCTCGTTAATATCAATACAAATAGTAAGGAAGTCATCCTTACAAGTGATATCAGATAATATAACAAAAAAATTTATGTAAAAATTTTGTTTTCGTTCTCCAAGTTCTCAATTTATAACGTAATAGCTAAAGAACAATTGATATACCTGCAAGCCAATAACACTGTCCTCAACCACCAGGCAATCCCTTTCTACCACGCCTAGCTTCTGCAAGGCATATGTCACAGTCAAAATAACAATGCATGCCCGCTGCGTGTCAAAAGAAGAAGGCTTCAAAGTCATGAACTATGTATTAGTTACTTTTGAAGCTGTTATATAAATGGATGGATCAGGTTTTTTTTCCTTCACATCATCACCTACAAGAAACAAAAGAACCTAAAAATCAATTGACTAGCAGGACTAACTGAACTGAAACAAATGGATATCATCATTGATTTTTAAGGCAACCCCATCAGTTATAAGACAGGACTACGGAAACCGTTTGTAGTTCATCCACTGCATGGGTGTGGACATTCAATTATCCTACAGCAAAGGCTCTGATACATTCTTTCAAGCTTATCACCCTCACCCATGGATTCAATTATGTCCTCATTGTTGAATAGCTATACGTCGAATCATAAACAGGAATAGTGCATGGCAGTCTTATATTCCACAATAAAGCGTTACACGGGAAAAGCAGTAAGCTTACCAGCAAGAAAGCAATCAAGATTTTGAAACCGATCCTAAAATCAGCGAAGCACATTATTATTACCACGATAAAAGGACGGTTGATTCTAAATTCATTAAAACAAAGTCTGAAGGCTTACAATTCCAATAAAACTTTCAAGGCAAAGAACAACTGAACTTTTGGTAGCTGCAGAGCATACAGCAAGTTTCCTGCCCTACAAAACAATATGATATTTTACCTTAAGTATCTTAAGCAACTTGAAGAAATGAAGTAATGACACAGGAAGTACAAATTAATGATAGAGTTGACGCAAAGAACGATTATAAAATAGGTTAATGATAAAATGAACAGAGAAATGTTCCCAACTAATTGGCACGTGTTTTAGAAGAGGAACATGGATCGAACTACCACAGGTGATATAAGGCAAAAACAGTAGATGGCAAAAATAAGATGATATCTTCCCAAATGGGATAGGATAATTCAAAATTTGAAACTTTATCCAAGGGAAAAGCATGAAGGTTAACTTTAGGAAAAAGCATGAAGGTTAACTTTATATTACTTACAGCAGACTTTGCCTCATCCATCAATCTTAGAACTCCAGGCCTGGGCTTCACCTGGTAGAATGAAAGCAATCTAGAAGCCGATAGGCGAAGGAGCGAAGTAGAGGTTCAGGTTTCTTCTTTTACCGAGTTCAATCTGGTGAAGGAAAGCCTTGATTCGAGACTACAAGCCAGGCCAGGACGGAAGAAAGACGAATGAACTTATTTACCAAGTGTTTGAGAAGAAAAAGAATAAAGAAAATAGGTGGGTGAAGAAAGAACAAAAAAGAGAAGAAAGGGATAGGTTACGGAGCGAAGCAAGTTGGATAGGACAGATTGTCCTAATTAATTGCTTACGGTTCCAGATTTGATTATTTCTTTGTACCTGTCCGTTTTCCAGTCCTACGATATCAAAGAAAGGGAATTAATAAAATCTCTGAGAATCAGAGCACAAAGTGCATCACGAACTTGCGTATTAGCACAAAATATATGGTCATATCCCTAGAACCAATAGATCAGTTTAAGAAGATAAGCCTATGCCAGTACTAAACTTTTCCTTTGAATGCGCAAGGATGCTTGAACAGTACGTATGTATAATACTAATCCAGTTTTTTTTTAAGAAAAACAAATACTAGGATACCCAATTTATATTAAACTAACATAAAATGATGAGGACCATACCATCGCATTTTCGGTTTACCGCCACCAATGCGGTTCTGGAGCTCGTCGTAGAACTCAATGCTCATCGTTATAGGCTTGGCGGTGCAATGCTCGGACTCGAGGATCACGCCGTCGCAGTCGAATATTAGAGCTTGTAAAGAAGCTGAGACTGAAAGGGAGAAAAGTTTGTGAGTGGTGGATTTTCTGGAGGTCCGGAAGTGGATGGCTGTGGGAGGAAGAGATCGACGGAGAGTAAGGGAAACCATATCAGAAGAAGAAGGTTTGAAAGTGGGACGAAGGAGCATTGTAGTGATGCTCGCCATGGCTCAGAGATGGAAAACGAGACCAGCTTCGAGTTTCTGCGGCGCGGAATGCGCCCGGCAACTTAACGGATTTTGCAACCGTTATAGGCCTCAATTACGAATCCCTATTCCTCTTGACATTATCACTCCCCCCACGAGTTCACCTTTTCTCGAGTAACTTATGAGTTTACTACCTACTTTCAACTTGATTTAGATCTCGATTATGAAGATAATAAATATTGTTATAATAAAATAACAAATCCACGTGGACCCCTCTAAAGTCGACGTGGTCATCACGTGTCAAAACATGTGGTACGGAGGTTTCTCGAGTCGAACACAAGGAGATCATAAGTTAATAAATCGCTTAACCTATTGAGCTTGGTCCTAATTGAAACTCGAACACACGGAGATCATAAGTTAATAAATCGCTTAACCTATTGAGCTTGGTTCTAATCGAAACTGCCTAAAATAACATGCAAGTCTATAAATACTATAATTTATTTGTTATTGAGATATCCCTTCAATCAATTATAAATATTACCTACAATATGAAATCGATAAATTTTCTGATAAAATTTTAAAGAAAGTTCACTATGATACATATATTTAATCAATTAAAGAAGAAAAACTAATTTTTTCTATTTATTAATTGATTTTTTTTTTCAATATCAAATAGAGAAAAGTTGAAAATAAATAATCAAACGGCATTATTTTCATTAGAGATGTGAACAAATAATAATTCTTGTAACAATCACCAAAGTAATAAATATGTCTGTAAAAGTTATCACATCCCATTGATTGAGACTCCCAAATCATTTATTGTAAGTAATAAATAAAACTATTTCCCATGCCACAACAAAGAGATACATAAATGTTAGCAAATTCAATTTTTCTTTTCAAGAACAATTTTCAAAGATCTCTTTTTGTGGGATCAAACTTTTCTTATAAAATTATGTCACAAAATAAAAATAAAAACGAACATCTTGCTTCTCTCTGAACAAAGAATTCCATCCTTCTATTAAAAAAAGAAACAATTCAATGCCATTTACAAAACCAGGGGGAATGAAAGGAAGACCAAGCCTCCATACAGGACATGCAATTTGGTCTAAGGATTGAAGAAGCGGTTCCCACAGCGGCATTTCCAACTCAATGGCTTGTAAAATGAGTATCTGTTCCCTTGAGGAGACGAGTCAAAAAATCTCATTGGCAAAGCCGAGGGCGAATCCAACCGGCCGGCACGGCGAGGCATACTAGGCACCTGCACCGCCATGCATGGGCGGCACTCGTTGCACTTGTTATGGCAGCTTGGTGGGGTGGATCCAAGCCTGGTTTTGTCTTCGAAAGATATACCCTGATCAAACCAGCAAGCATAAAAACTTGTCATTAAAAGAAACATTAAAAAAATGGAAAGAAAGCCATGGAAGAGAAAGAGAAAGAGAAGGCATACTATGGGAGGAGGAGAGGCCGAGAGAAGAAGAAGAAGATGTACAAGCACAAGAAGTAATGAGGTGGCCCAAACAGTAGCCAAATTCATGGTAGTCATCCAGTCATGGATACCCAGAACTCATGGATCCAACGGTGCAAAGGAGTAAAAATCATACGTAATAAAGACCCAGTTGCCACACTTTTCTGGTACTTTGCTCCACTTCCACCAATCGCACCACAACCACAAGTAACTGAGAGAGAAGTTCTGAGTAAGAGGGCAGATTGCAGCAGAACGGTGAAAGGAACAATACAGTGAGGGAAAAACAAATATGGAGTACTCACATCACATACAAAGGACGCCCTATTCTTCCATTGTACAGCTTTGTAACAGCTTTAGGCTGTCAATCACTAGTCTGGCTGGCTGCAAAGGGACCGCATTTACTCACCCACTCTCCCCTTTGCATTTGTTTCACTCTTCTGCAATCTTCACTGCCATTGATTTTACATTACAAATGCTGCGCTGATGGGCATGCAGCGACTACCTCATCTCATCTCATCTCCCAAGCAACCAATAATAGCTAATGGAATGGACTGGACTGGACCATTGAGATTTATTTGCTATTGCCGCGCCTTTCTCTCTCCCTTCTCCTCTGACTGTGGACCAAATTTGTTTGTGTTGTGAAAAAAACCGTTCTCTTCATCTACCAAGGTACGCCAATGTCCAAGAATATTGAGCACATGTTTTGAATCACTAAACTTCAAACTAGCATTTGATAGCTCTTCCTTCAACGCTTCATTGCACCAAAGCTGCTCATACAGGAGATTTATTTATCTCCAGTCTACGACTTCACGAAGTATTTGAATGTGCATCCGCAACTGATTCTGTGATTACAAAGTAAGCTTGTCATCCAATTCTATATATTCCTTATACAACTATAATACAACTAGTTTACTCAGCTGCAAAATACCGTAATCCTAATTTACAATATACACTGTTGGACTTGGAAGTCACATTTTTTTTATATGAATGTAACAATTACTTATGGCTCAAACAGATAACTGTTGATGAATGCATTTAATATCCACACGTTGGCAATCTAAATAAAAAGAATGTAAGTGAATTTGTTTGGTCTGATTCAAAACTTAACCTGTACCAATGTCAAATATCAAACCTTTGAATCAACTGCCTAAAAAATCGAAAAAACTGACCAGGATGGCCTATTGAAATCTACCAACATCCAACTGAACAAAATACTCAAAATATTTAAAATTTTATAGAACAGGCGACCATAGTTGATCCAAATGAATGAAAAAGTGTCAAGTCAGCAGATCCTACTCGCCCAGAATATAATACAATGATGTGTGATAAAGAAGATGCAGTGTTTGCTGGTAAAAGGCGAAAAGAATGCTGCAAATAATCTGCCACATTCCTCGACTCCCTTCAGACCTGTTGATTTATTTTTACAGGGCAATTAGTCAACTAAGTTATCAAATGCATCAGATCATTCCGAAACATTACCGAACTCCAAGAAAAAGAGCCTGGTACGCAGTGGGAAAACTCATTATGAACGCGGGCCTTCTCATGTTTTGGGCTCCCTGTACTTAACAAAGAGAAATCAATAAACCGAACCTGAAGAACTTGGCTGTTACATGCCTCTGTCGAACACCAGCTTCCCTTCCGTAACCACCAAATTGTATGGTTTTGATAGGGCAAGTGTTGCATGTCGTAGCTTCCATGACATGAAAAAAGCAAGTTGCAGGTTCCCAGCCTGACGTCTCTTCATTTGAATTGCCGTCCACGCCCCTGTAAAAGTTCCCTGTAAAGGACTCCACAGAATCTCAGCTACGACTGAACCTGTTGACTTGTTCATATTCAGAAAAGATTAGAGAGGATAAATTCAAATGAAGGATCGCATACAAAGCAGACCGACTGAACTTAAGAGACCGTCAGATATCCAGGAAGAATAGTGCTCGCTCAGTCTGCAACTCTGAATTTACTGTTGGCCTGCCGACGACCTGGACGAGAATGAGAAATTAAAATTACAGCTGTTAAGCAGAATGGATGTCACGGGCGCAGTGGAAGAGAGGGGAACTTCAGATGCAAATGGCTTTAAAAGATGGAAGTGGTTGTGAACCACCTTGGTACAACGAAAAATCAAAATTACAATGGTTAAGCAGAATGTTTATTCCATTATCACAATGACCCGTAACGAATACATTTCCCTGATTACACTTCCCCTGCCGCTGTACACTTCCTATCTGAGTCCAATTTTCATTTCCCATTAAATCGCACATTATGGAGACCCAAAATCTTTTCTGGCAAGAAGTATCAAGTGATAAATGCCATAGGCTACACTGCCACAAAACTCATATTCCGTACTGCTATTCTGTCATTGTGCAACAACTGCCATGGTAACTTGTATTAAAGAATCCTAAGCTATCTCCAGTCTCTTCTCCAAAGGGCTCAAGCGTCCTGGACTTCCTTTTGATTTAAGCGTTCGTCGACCAGATCATGCCTCCCAGTAGAACTTTGTCCTCCACTGTGCTCCTGTCTGCTTTCCCATATCTTTCCCGACTTCCCTATTGCAAGAATCAATTCAAGTTGCTTTTGTTGCTGTTCCTACAAACCCTCACTCAGACAAGAAATCTAAATCAGATTAGATGCAATCCTATATGAAGAAATAAATCTTGTTGAATATGCAATAATCAGGCCAATTGATATTATTCTACCTTGCATTCTATTGTTCCTTTTGAGTTTTGAATTCTAACATCTTGAACACTAATACATTATGCTTTATCTGTAAATTGTATCCCTTTGAGTTTTGAATTCTAACTTCTTGAACACTAATACATGATGCTTATCTATAATCACGTAAATCACTCCTTGAAAAACTTAAGACCATTGAATTTACACCGAATGGAAGACTTAAAGCACCTGCATAGCCAGTAAGACTTTCTGGATTTCAGCAAGCTCCTTCTCCAAAATATCCCCTCGAACTGCCAATGCTCGAGTGGCCTCGAAAGTTTTTTGGGCTAAAGCTGCAGTCTTCAAAAAGTGATCAATACTTGCATGCTATGGGAAATGGCATCTAAACTTAGCAACATAAAAGCAATAAAGTTAATAGGCCAAGTTATGAAGATAAAAGTTTGCATCTTGACGTAGATTTTCACCATCAACATGTTATTTCACATTGTAACCGAACCCCTGCAGCACATAAATTTTCTTCACCACCACACATGAACACATCCAAATCATTCCAATACAATTAGCTCACTGCGCCAAAGCTGCTCATATAGGAGTTTTTTTTTTCCTGTTTTCTTTTTGGAGTGTGTTTGCCACGCAGGAAAACACTGCCTATTTATAAATTCCAGGATTTGACTGCTTCTTAAAAATAACATCTCTTTTTGGATTTCGTGGGAGTTCAACGCCAAAAAATTCAGTATAGGTCCTCTACTTGTCTTTTTCCTTACTTGGAGTGTTCAATTTTCAAACGCTGCCCAAATCTCCAAGAAATTGAAGTTCATCGATAACTATAACCAGAATTACCATTCAGATATCATCCTTTTTTGAAGAATTTTTTTATCATTAACCACCTTCAAATTCTATGTTATCTAACCTACCTGCAGATATATATATTCACCTTTTTTTCTGTTTTGCAAAATTACATAAACCTATCACTTGGTTCATCTAATTTCTAAGATTTCAGAATATTTTGATCGTCCACCGTGATTCGATTTCTCTGTCATTATCATGCTAGTGTCTTCAGGGAACCATCATTAACTTTGTTAAATATCATCCTGAGATTTCGTATTAAAGAAACAGCGTCCAAATTTTCGAGAACTAGAATTACCTCCTCGACGGGCTTCTTCAGAGCGTTTCGAGTAACTCTAAATCTAATCCCGAGCTTCTCCAGCTGCCTCGATAAGACTCTAATCACCGTTGCTGAGCTCCTTAAATCCTCCTCCAGCTTGTTAGTGTTTTCCACCAAATTCACCTCTAATAAGCCCTTCGCTGTTTGTCGAAAAAATCGATTCCCTTGCCGCCTACGAATCCAAGCACCAAGTGCAACCCCAGCCACCAGAAACAAAATTGCGCCAACGAAAATCCTGTCACTGAACACCGCCAAGAACACGCTCTTAGAGCTGGCTTTCGCGCAACTCAGAGCGAAACCAACAGAAGCGATCAACGACGTAACGAGACAAAACAACTCGGCAGCTGAAAGTAAAGAATCGATATCGAAATCACCATCACCACTGTGTCCCCGGCCTACTCCAGATGTAGAAACTCGAGGACACAAGTGATGAGCATTAATGGAACCAAAATTAAAAGTTCTCCGAAGCTTATAATCAAAATTTTGAAAAGACGGAGCGTTTGGGAAGCGGCCAGGAGCGAATCCAAGAGACAAGCACGGATTCCTGGAAAAGAAGACGGAGAAGTAAGAGGTTGAAGGGGGAGGGGGAGGGGAAGGAGAAGATGAACTCAGTGAAAGGTACTGGAAAGCAAGCGACATCGTTCTTGAGTGTAGAGTTCAGAGCGTGTAATTCAAGAATCTAGGGTTTTTTTCATCAGAGATGGGAAACGGAGCATACGTCCTTCCTTTGGAGTAGAAAATTGAAGTGAAGAACTTGACTCGACACGGGAAGGGGAAGGAGATGGGCTTCCAGAAATTTTCCGGGAAAACCGTGATTCATTCAACGGTTTACGCGCCGAGTTTTATCCGATCTATTAGTTTCTAAACTGTAACCGTTTAACTGGATAGGAAAATTGTACGGAATATAGAGAAAAATAAAATTATAAGAAATATTCGAATATTAAATATAAACTGACTGAAAAATACTCAAACAAATTAAAATTATCTCATTTTATTTATATTGATAGTCATTAATTACTTTCAATCTAACTAACTATAATAGCAATATGGTTATTATCAAGTTTAATCATGAATTTAAAAAATGTTAGGTAATTATGGGTAAGTAATGTAGTGTATTGGTTAATTAGTTGGTATCCGTCAATTTATTGATTAAGGCTAAATCTTCTGTCCAGTTAGGTAAGATGGAATCAATGGTTATTTAAAAACTAAATTAATTAAACAAATCTATCTGCCTTTCTTCTGCTCCTATATATAAGTATGTAAAATACCACGTTGTCCTTGGGACTGTGGGCACTCACATAAATACCTAATCCTACCATATTTATTAGTTTTTTGAGTTGGATTAATTAAATTACATTTTGACACGTTTAATAAGAAATGGTTTATAAATATAGCATTTAAAAACCGAGTAAGTCTATAAAACAAATTCATTCATTATTTAATAATGTGTCCAAATATGAATGAAATTAATACATGTATTAATTAGGAAAATTAGTTAGCAAAGAGTTAAAAAGATTTATAAGTTTGTTCTTACATCTTACAAAGTTTAATTTAATTTTTATATTTTTAATCCTATATTACTTGGTAATAAATGGGTACAATAAAAATTAAAATTTTGCAAAAATAATTTGAATATTTATGGGACTTTTTTTTTTAATATAGATATATATATATACCAAACTTAATTTGTTTCTTTTTATTTATTATAAGCCAACTTTAATACTTCCCAACCATAAATGTATAATCGAAGAAAATTAAAAGGTGAGGATTTTAATTAAAACTTCTTAAACACTCTCACCTAAGTTAAATTGAAAAAATTATTTAATCAAAATTTATCAATTAAGCAGCGTCTGTAATTGGTCTATTTGTATTCAAAAGTAAATATTAAATTAAGAAAAGACGTGAGTATTTTTCTTGTGTTATTGATTAATTATATTTCGATCTACGTTAAACGAATCTATCTAAAAAGAACGAATTTTAAATTGTTTTCAAAGTTTCAATACGACGAACCGTATTATACTAAATTGCAACTTTTATCATATTTAAAAATTTACCAATATTAAGTGTAAAAACGAATTATTATGGATCATTAATAAAAGACGGCATGAACAAAATTGGAAAGACAAAAAAAAAAAAAAAAAAAAA